CCCTAAACCCTAAACCCTTAAACCCTAAACCCTCAACTCTTAAACCCTAAACCCTAAACCCTAAACCCTGAACCCTAAACCCTAAACACACTGGAGGCCCTAACTTTCAGGTTCTTTACACCGCAAGGATTCAGGTCTTAGGACTGTAGAAGTGTCCACCAGGCTTCTACAAGGGTGTTTTAGGTTTAGGATTTAGGGTTTAGGGTTTAGGGTGTTTAGGGTTTAGGGTTTAGGATTTAGGGCTTGTAGGGTTTAGGGTCTAAGGTTTAGGGTAAGGGTGTGGGGCTTGCGGTGGTTTAAGGTGTGGCCACTGACAGGGTGTATGGAGGTTTGTGGGTTACTGGCTCTGTCAGGCAGGGGCTTGGGCGACTTATGGGGAGTTTGACGTTTCGGGCTGCAGGTGTGGAAGGTTTGGGGCTGGTCCAGGGGTTTGGAAGCTAGGGTTTAGGGTTTAGCGTTTAGGGTTTAGGGTTTAGGGTTTAGGATTTGGGTTTAGGGTCATTTATTTGAATCAAAAGTCTTGATTGCTCTTGGATTCTCCGGGTTGCACAAAGATTGGGATGTTATTGGGGTTGTTTTGGACCCTAACACTAAACCCTAAACCCTAAACCCTTTCTGAAACCCTAAACCCCTAAATCCCTAAACCAGAAACCCCTAACCCCAAACCCCCTGAACCCCCTGAACCCTCAACCCTGGGTGGAGGGATCGGGGTTTTGGCCTTGGGACCTAGGAGACGTCAAGTCGGGATTGCAGCAAAGACCTGAAGGAACGACACGGTTTAGAGTTTAGGGTTTAGGGTTTAGGCTTTAGGCTTTGGGCTTTAGGGTTTAGGTTTCTGGTTTAGGCTTTAGGCTTTTGGGTTTAGGTTTAGGGTTTAGGGTTTAGGGTTTGAAGGTTTAGGATGTAGGATTTAGGGTTTAGGGACCCAGAGAGCCCAAGACCCCTTAATTAAGGAATATACCTTAAATTATAAGGCCCTTAATATTATGATTTTAAGCTATATTCCTCAATTAAGGGGTATTGGGCTGTCTGGGTACATCCTGAGGGGTAAAACCTAAAACCGGGTTTAGGGTTTTAGGGTTTAGGGTTTAGGGCTTTTAGGGCTTTTAGGGCTTAGGGGTTTTTTGGTTTAGGGTTTAGGGCTTAGGGTTCGGGCCGTAAGCCCCAAGAGCCCAATCTTGAATAAAAGCTAACGGTGCCTTGGGAAGGACCATCAGCGAGGAAGAGGAAGATTCCGACGACCTCGCCGACCAGATGTGTTTGAGGGCTTAGAGGGGTTTAGGGTGTCGGGTTTAGGCCTTCGGGGGGTTTAGGGTTTGGAGCTTAGGCGGGTTTAGGGCTTAGGGCTTAGAGGGGTTCAGGTTTGAGGCGTAGGTCTCGGCGGCTCGGCGGGTCTAGCGGCTAGCGGTCAGGGCCACTTCGGGGTTTAGGGCTTAGCGGTTTAATGGTTTAGGTTTTCGGGTTTTAGGTTTAGGGCTAAGGGTTTTAGGGTTTTGGGTTTGGGCTTTAGAAGTTTACCATCTAGGGTTTGATGTATCTTTTGTTGAGCTGTTCAGGGCTGATGCGACGTGGTTGTTCCTAGAGGGCTCGGTAAAGGATGTACGCAACAAGACAAAACCCTGAAACGAAGCACCCTCTTTTAGTACGCGTTAGTTTGATCACGTCCTGAACGGGGATTTTGCGCCCGGCTTTGCAAGGCGTTATGGTTGGGGGTTTGTACGGCCAGAACCAAACACACGAGAGCCTTGTTCACCTGAATCCTAAACCCTAAGCGCCGAGATGCTAAACTCCGAAAACCTAAACCCTACTCCCCTAAAACCCT